TTCTTTTTTAGATTTTTTATTCTTAAGTTAACGTACGTTCTTTAATAAAAAAAAATTAAATTATATTAAATAATTTTTTAAATAAATAATAAAGTTATTAGATTAAAAAAATATTTTTTATCAATATTCATTTTTAAAAATATTAATTTATATTTGTTTATTTATATTTTATTAAAATATTATTTTAAATTTATTAATAAGTTTATTAATTATTTATTTTATATTTATTAATAAATTTATTAATTATTTATTTTTATATAATTTCTTTTATTTTTAAAAAACATTTATAAATTAATGCATTGATTAATTAACCAATCGATTCCTTCTTCTAATCCTTCATTCTTTATAGCACACACCTTTAAAAATTTAACATTACCATCCACTTTTAAATCAATATCCCCTAAATCCTTCTTATTTCCATAAATCAATAAAGGAATACTTTCTTTATATCCTTCAAAATACTTAAGAAAATCTCTTTTATCTGACATATCTATCACAAAAATATTACCATTTACTAAACCATAATAATTAAACCAATACTCACTAAAACATTCTTGACCACCTATGTCTAATATTTTTATGTTTAAATTATTTTTTGTTAGGTAATATTTTTTATAACCAAAGGTAGGAAGTATCTTTTCTTTTATGTTGCATAAGTTGGTTATTATAGTTGTTTTACCTGAATTGTCCAGACCTACCAGTAAAAATGTTAATTCTTTTTTTGTTTGAAGTGATTTTAACGAAGAAGCAAATGACATTAGAAAAATAAAATTGATTAGTTTTATAAATTAAAATATAATTAAATCATATAAAAAAATTATTAAAATATAATTAAATCATATAAAAAAATTATTAAATTTATAAAAAAATAATTAAATTTATTAAAAAATAAGAAAATAATATAAAAAAATAATTAAATTTATTAAAATATAAACATCATAAATGTTACCAGAAGAAATCCAACAATCTTTAAAAAACTTAGAAATTTTCTTATCAAAAAAACCAACCACAATCCATAAATCATTGACTTATGAATCAGAAAAACAATTTGTTCTTTATGCAATCCAATTAGCTAAAGCTAAATTAATAAGTGATCCTACTAATGAATATATTAATCATATTAATTTATTAAAAGAGATTGATAAAAAGATAGAACATTACAAAGAATACAAGGAAATGAATTTGACAAAGTATTTCTTAATGAAATGTATAAAGAACTAGTTGGTTTGGTATTTAGCCTTGAGGCAAATTACATGAACTTCCCGATATGTGTAACTAAATAATCGACTTGATCAAAAAATGTGTAAATAATATACTTCATCAATCCTACTTTAAAAAAAACGATAATAATTTTAGCAAAGTTTGACGAATTTTTAAAATTAAACTACTTGTTGTAAGGCCGTAATATTACAGTAAATTCTATAAGACCATGATGTATATCGCCAAAAAAAGTTCCATGAAAAAAGGCTTAAATTTTCAGCCTTTCAGCATCATTCCCAAATGATATCTTTCGAACAGTTTTTGATTTTTCAAAATCGGTTCGGTAGGATAAGCTTAAATGTGGACGAAAATTTAACACTTTTTTTTCAACATTTAATTACAAGAAAACGGCTCGGTAGATTTTCACCTAAAATTAATCAGCATCATTCCCTAATGATATCTTTCGAACAGTTTTTGATTTTTTAAAATCGGTTCGGTAGGATGAGCTTAAATGTGGACGAAAAGTTCAACACTTTTTTTCAAATTACAAAGAAACGGCTTGGCAGATCGTTGCACAAAACTGACAAACGATAGTCCTCACCGAAATACATCAAATGGCTTTTAAATTTCTAAAATCGGTTCAGGCGTTTTTGAGAAAACGTCGATCAAAAGTCTAATTTTGACAAATGCCAAAAAGACCATACTGATTTTTGCAAACTTTGACGAATTTTTAAAGCTGAACCAGTTGTCGTAGGGCCGTAATATTTTAGTATGATCTAGAAGACTATGGTATCTATCGTCAAAAAAATAATCATAAAAATCGTCGAAATTTTTTTTTTAAAAACTTTATTACAAGAAAACGGCCCGGCCGATCTCTACCAAAAACTAATCAGCACGATTCCCAACCAATATCTTTCGAACGGTTTTTGAATTTTCAAAATCGATTCATAACTGCGGGCTAAAACGTGGACGAAAGAGTTTTCACTTCTCTGCTATTTACGAAGAAACGGTTTGGCCGATCGTCGCACAAAACTGACAAACAATAGTCCTCATCGAGATACATCGAATGGCTTTTAAATTTTTGAAATCGGTCCAGCCGTTTTTGAGAAAACGGCGATTTACGGCAAAAAATCTGTTGGTGCACACGCACACACACACGCACACACACACACACACACACACACACACACACACACACATACTTTTTCCAAATTTGGTCTCATTCGATTCAGAATGGCTTGAAACGTCGAGAAAACATAAAATTAGCGAATCGGATTTTTTGATGAAAACATAAACTTCTCCTTCGGGAAGTTAAAAATATAGTGTGCATCATTTTTTGCTCTATGATATTGTGTGAAATGTTAACCTGAATCTCATTACATGTTTCGATGTGAGTGTTGTCTACTTGTAATAATTTTATTATGCATTCGTCATTATTTGATAGGATATGTTTAATATTGCAGAAATATATTTTTGAAACTGCTCTGCAATCTGCATCATCAAATTGATAGTTATTATTGCCAATTTTAAGGAAAGGTTTAGGTGGAATAATGACTCTATTTTCGGTATTTGGAATTGGAAACAATTTATAATGTTTATAAGTTTGGAGTAGATTATTATTATCATCCGTATAATAATATTGAATTTTTAATAAATTGTAATGTTTGTGAAGATTACTATCGCCTATGGAAAATGGTAGTGAATCTGTACTGTATAAATGCTTTATAGTATTAATCATAAAATTCAGATTATCTAATTTTATTATTGAATTATGAATTAAATTCATTTTAGCTAAATCTATTTATATTTTTATGTCACTTAAAATAATTGTCATCAATATAACTAAACTATAAATAATTTCTTCTAAACTATCTGGTTTATGAAAAGTGTCTTTATATTTTTTGCAAATTCTTAAAATAGCATTTTTCTCTTCGAGATTCATGTGGTCAGTCCGTATTAGGTTTTCAATATCGGAAAAATCTATATTTGAGTCAGATACAAAAATTATAAAATTCTATTTCATTTGTGAGTTCTACTTGTAAAGGTTTGGTTAATGTTAAGTTAATTTCGTTTTCTGTTAGGTTAGGAATTTCAACTATGGCTTCATTGTTTTTTGCTAATGTTACGGTATCTGGAATGAAACAATTTGGAAAATTTTGCCTTGTAATTAGAATTTCACCTTCTTTAATGTTAACTGGGACTTTACATTTTTGAATGCATCTTTCTGGTATCTGTTGACTAAAAAGTATTTTTGCCGGACTTTTTAAATAATGTAAGTTTAAATTAGTATTGGGTAACACTATCAACCCATTATTTAAATCTATTATTGCCTTCAATTTTTTAAGATTATCAATACCTAATAACCCATTGAAGGTTTCATGAAATTTAAAAAGATGGAATGGCAGGTTTTCATTACCTTTGAACTCTTTAAAACTCGGAATATTACATGCAAAATTTCCTTTGTGTGTTGCTGAAGCAGTTTTTATTGTACAAGGGTCAGAGTAAATAAAATTTTTGAAATATTTGTTAGCGATTTCTGGACAAATGAAAGATTTTGTGGAGCCTGAGTCAATAAGAAATTTCATATTTGGATTTTGGATTTGTATGTATGAGAGTTGATATGTTACTTGAATATAATGAGCGATATTTTAGAAAAACTAACGATTGAAATAAATCATGCTTTTGATGATATGTTGGGGATGAATTTAGCTATCATGTGAATCCATTGTAAGCGAATCCAGCGAATTATTTAAAACAAAAGCGCTGGATTTAATTTTTTACAAATAATTTTCATTTTTGTAAAATTTTCAAATATTATTGTTTTCTCCTCGGTCCTACACTTTTCAAATATAGTTTTAATACATCAAAAGTAGCCAAACGTAACCATTTTTAACTTCCCGTAGGGCAAGTTATAGTAATCGCAAAAAAATCGAAAATGAAATTTTTTATATATCTTTACGTTTCAGAGGTTTCTGAACATTTTGGCATACCTTAGAAAAAATGGATGTATGTATGTGCGGATACAAATTTTCGTCGACGATTTCGGGAACACGGATCAACCGATTTGAATAATTCAAAAAGCATTCGATTCGTATTGATAAGAAGACGTGCTGATTAGTTTTGGCAAAGGCAGCTCCAGCCGTTCCAAAGATACAAGGCAAAAAGTGCCGAAAACGGTAATTCAGTTTTTAAGAGAACGGAGCGTCCGAATTTAATAATTCAAAAAACATTTGACTTGTATTGACAAGATGTAGAATTGATCAAATTTCATGAAGGCAGGTCTAGCGGTTTCGGAGATCTAATGAAAAAAGCAAAAAAAAAAAAATGCCATTCGGCGGTTAAAAATGATCATTTGACATATGCACCTCAAATTATCAGATATTTTTTATAGAGATTTCAACAATAAGTATATTTTTTTTACATTTCTATGGGTTCCGTACCAATGCTTATGCGTTAGACGGCGGCGCGGCACTTGCGAGCTTTGACATTTTGTCTCTATGCAGTTCAAGCAGTGCGATTGCTTTGAATAAAAGTTCAGAATTTCCAAAATATGTCAAAATGAAGAAAACTTTTTCAAAGAATTTTTTTGTTTCCAAAAAAAAAATTTTTTTCTCAAAAAAAAATTTTTTTTTTCAAAAGAAAGTAATTTTTTATCAAATTTACAGTTTCTCAAAAAAAAAATGTCAATCGTTTTTAAAAAAATAATAATTTTTGGTACGGGAAGTTCCAGCAATATGCCTTAAGGCACGATGCCCTAATTGCCTTAAGACAGAATTCCACTTACAGCTAGTTTTACTATAATGTCAGATAACGCTTTATCCGCGTCGCCGGTGGGAACCGCTGCGCCAGCTACAGCATCGTCGAGTGAAGCCGTCCCATCGAAGAAAAAGCGAGTGAGGGCGCCCTATCCTCCCATATACGTAATGGTCAACGACGCCATAGCAAGCCTGAAAAAACGCGGAGGATCGTCGCTGCAGGCGATCAAGAAATATATGTCGGCCAATTATAAAATCGACGCCGAGAAAAAATCAACATACATCAGAAAGTATTTAATGTCGGCAGTTGAAATGGGAACACTCATTCATACGAGAGGCAACGGTGCTTCGGGTTCGTATAAACTTGCCGCTAGACAGAGGGGCGGCGAAAGCGGTGTTTCGGCTGGAAAAGCTAGGACCGCTAAGAAGCCAGCGATAAAAATAAAATCGAAGACAGCAAAGTCGAAGGGCGCCGCCAAACCTGCTTCGTCCCTTAAAAAGAAGTCTGCATCCGCAGCGGGCACATTAAAAAAGTCGTCGGCGAAACCTAAGACGACAGTCGGTAAGAACAAGACCATATACGTGTTTATCTATGAACAAGACCATTTAGGGTAAGTCGACGAAAGCCTCATCGGCCAAGGCAACGAGCAATAATAAGAAGATTATCTTTTAATATACGTAAATTCGCTTTATTTCATCTTTTAATACATACTTTATTTAAGGCTTTATTATTTATATGTTCAGGAATGATTATTCATTTGATACAATTAATTTTAATTTATTAATTTTTTTTTTATTTTATTTTAGAATTGGGTTAACTGTATACTATTCTTTTCGATTAAGAAGAATGTTATTTTTTAATTCTTTTGATTATTTTAGTTTAAATAATTAAAATAAGATTTATTTTAATAATTTTTTCTTTATGCTTTGATAAGATTATAATTAATTTGATTTTTTATATTCCTAATACATATATTTTTTATTAGATTTATAATAAATATTATAGTTATAATTATGTTTTTATTAGGATTATGAGTAGGGTTAGAAATTAGGTTTTATAAAATATTATATATAAAAATGGATCGCAAAATGTGTTGGTAAGCGCATAACTCAACAACGCTCTTCGAGTCTTCGATCTTTTAAATTTTCAGCTCCTTGTATATCAAGCAAATGTTTAAAAAATATCAATTTATGAAAGACGTCAGTATAATTTTATCACCTAAATTATTTCTAATATAGCAAATCGATTCAAAATGTTCTAAAGTAGTAAAACTTTCAATTCTGATTTTTTTTTTGTTATTTATATTAATTAAAACAGCATTTTGATTTTACTTATTTTGTTAAAAATAGGAATAGAAATCTTACGTAATTTTTGATTTTTTTTTATCGTAGGTCATTTTACAGACAATATTATCTAGTTTAACGAGATTTTTTTTTTGAAATGTCATCCACGTAGAAGGCCGAAATTACTGCAGCAGTGAAGGACCTTTTTTTTCGTGCCGTTGGAGATCGACTATAACTTAAAAAATATTTAATTTTTAAAAAAATTTACTATGTATTCTTAAAACATGTGTAAATATATTCCTGAAACTTTGAAATGATTGATAAAGTATTTTTTTAATATGAATTCCCAAAAATCACCTTTCGGTTACACTAGTTGTGCCCATTAAAAATGTAAAGTTTAGCCGTTTTCGAGTTTTAGCGGATCATTTCATCGAGAGCTCCATTTATATATATATATATATATATATATATATATATATATATATATATATATATATATGATATTCAGTTTTCAGGGCAATACATCAATTAAAAAATTTGTATGACTTTAAAACGTTTTTATTTTTTCCATACGTTTCGACACATAGTTTTGTGTCATCTTCAGTGGACTCTATTTTGAAGGTACAGATAAAATTATTAATTAAAACTAATATATAAGAAGTGATATGGTATGAACTTACATGTAATTGTGATAATCCTAATTATTTCCTAATTATAATTGTTCACAATGCACAATGAAACCAATTCTTGTCACTTTAAATGTAACAATAATAAATTTTTTGAATGAGTTATTTTATGAATTTGTAAAATACATCCCGCTATACTGTATTCCGATGCAAGAGTGAAGCCAAATGTGCACAAATGTGCAACCCACGTGTTAGAAGTTAGGTACCGAGCGCACGAACTGACCAGAGAATTTAAGGTTTGACAACGCGAGAGGGTACATAGAGTAAAGAATAAAAAGATGACAATTGTGAAGGTGGACATAGTTGGTAGAATTGAGATAAAATGAAAAGAAAAAGAAAAATTAACATAAAAATTAATATAGTTAAAGAGTCGGTAAGATAGGTAATTATTTTAAAGGAATGAATTTCGAGACATTGTTTAAAACTACTTGGTAATTCTCACACAATGAAGAATTATCTAATCTTTTGTTTATGCTATTTTTGAAAAGATGTATGAAACATGATTCTGAAAAGCGTCTCTGCGATGTATTCGACTCGTGATATAAAATTGTGGCATCATCAAAATTGAAAATATGATTGAAATTTTGTATGTGGTCAGTTATCATTGTTTGATTTTGATTTTATTTTTGGAGTTGTTATAGTGTTGTCTAAGACGTTTTTTTAGATGTTGTCCAGTTTCGCCAATATAAGTGACCTCACAATTTGTACAGTCAATTTTATACACGATGTTAGAAATACGATCTAAACTTGTCGGTAGTCTTTGACAACACTAAATAACGACGAATAAATTACTTATATTCATGTACATTTCAAACACCGTATGTGTGTCATCATTCACAAGTTAATAAATTCAAGGCAGAAAAAATCAAAACATATTGTTGAATGAAAAACCCAAGACATTAAATAAAAAGATGTTTTGTTTTTTTCATTGAACAATGTGTTAAAATTTGTGTGCGCTTTTTCCTGCTTGAGTGTATTAATTTGCTGAATGATGACACACATTCAGTGTTTGAAATATACATGAATATAGTTAATTTATTCATTGCTTATTATTTTGACTATTTTGGCTGCAAATACATATTTCAAATATGTGTGAGCATCAAACTTCAAAGTTTATAAACACACATATATATATATATATATATATATATATATATATATATATATATAAAGCGAGAGGTTTTTCTTCAGATGGTGAAATAATATAATAAAATTGTTTCTTGGGCATCCATCCAGTAATTAAAAAACAGTTTTAATGAAAAATGTTTTTATTTATAGAGAACATACGTTTCGGGTCTTGATTTGACCCGCACACATTTTACTCTCGTACACACTCGTAATACAACTTCCAAACTAACAACATGTTCGTTTGGAATAAGCTTTTTTATAATAAAATATATCATTCATTTTAATTTACCATTTTTTTAAAAAAAATTTCATAACTCGACGTTTCATCAATTTTTTATTTCACTTTTATTTATTTTTTCGTGCAATTTTGTGTTTTTGTGTTGTTTTTCAAAGTTTATTTGTATGGTGAGTTTCTTTACATTGTTTATTTTATGGTTGTTTTTCATATATACTTTTCATATACATTGTTTTACTTATTTTGTCTGTTAATTATGTATTTTTTTATATTGTTTTAAATTGTAACCCTGAATTATTTAATTGTAGCACTGAAGATGGGTCAAATCAAGACCCGAAACGTATGTTCTTTAAATAAAAACATTTTTCATTAAAACTGTTTTTTAATTACTGGATGGATGCCCAAGAAACAATTTTATTATATATATATATATATACATATATTTATCTATATATTTATATGAATTTATTCCTGTTAGTTTCAATATGAATTTTATGTGTATATATACTAGGGTGGTCCTTAAAATGATCATTTTCGAATTTCCTTGCTCCCAGGGGCTCAAATGGTTCCAAATGGAAAAAAACAATTCTCTGAAAGTTTTAGCTCTTAATATTAACATTTAGATAGAGCGCAATTCAATCAAAGTTTTGTATGGAAATAGCATGGAAAAATTTTCAAAAGTTTCAAATTTTTAAAAATGTTTTTTAGATATAATTTAGAGACAAATGAATGAATAAAACTCATTCATTTGTTGCTAAGTTATACCTAAAATATTTTTTTCTTAATTTTCAAAATTTTCTCCATGCTATTTCCATACAAACTTCGATTGAATTGCGCTCTATCTAAACGTTAATATTAAGAGCTAAAACTTTCAGAGAATTGTTTTTTATCAATTTGGAACCATTTGAGCCCCTGGGAGCAGGGAAATTCGAAAATGACCATTTTAAGGACCACCCTAATATATACATATGTATGTGTATATGTATATATACACACATGTATATATATGTTTGCATTATTCTTTTTTAATATGAATTTATTCTTGTTAGTTTCAATATGAATTTTATTCCAAGTTATTTTTTCAATAAGATTGTTTATTTTAATATTATCAATTTATTAATATAATTTATACATGTATATATCAAAATATGAATTTATTAATGTTAATTTTACTGATTTTTTAAATTTAAGTAATGTATTATTGTTACTATGAAATTTGTCATAAAAATGTTCAATAAAATTACTTTAAATATTAATTTTACCTTTTAATATTTATATCCAAACAATTTATTTGCAGAAAATTCCATTAAATAATTATGTAACATAAAAGACACCTACACGCTTTTTTATTCAATTTAGATACGTAGAAAAAGGCAACCGCGGTGTATCAGTGTGCAACGAAACAGCCGTTACGTTCTTGCCCGCGAAATAGATACTTCTGTGTGCCTCCCAGGTTACGTACCTGATTCGTGCGGACGTGCCAGCCAGCGTTACGTAACGTTCATGGCTTTGTTACGTTTTGTGGTTTACTGGGTAACTATCATAATGGGGTATACCAATTCCATGACACATGACACGAGAGTGTCATCATTTAATGCTGTAAAAATTTTATTCTTCTTCAAATCATTTTTTCGTGATGATGGTGGATTATTATTTTATATTCTAACTTTGCATTCATATTCTTTATTTGAGCAAATATCTTTATTATGTTCTGAGTCATTATATTTCTTCAATTGAAAACCATTGTATTAGTTTTTATTCCTGTTTAGCCGAACTATATTATTGTTACTGAAGGGGCTACAAATATTAAATTTGTATTTGTATATCTCATTTTTACTAACCTTTTG